CTGCTATTGGTGCATATGTAGGTAGCAGAGCAGTAACATGAGAGGAGTAGAACAAGAAGAAGGAAGTATTGAGACTTTTCAAAGTTTTGGCCCAAGCCAGGGAGCATGGGAGCGTCATTTGAGCTCCCTGCTTTAGATGCCAAAATGTTGTGGGCCGGCCTTGGTGTTATCAGAGTAATGCTACTATTTTCAGTGCACTAGCTCAATGAGAGCTAGTGCCAGCATGTCTTCTGGAGTCACGAATTATACTCCCAGCTTTAGCTGTGCACATACACTGGCTCCATCTCAGATATGATTTAGGCCCTTTGGAGCTTAAATCCATAAAAAGAGTCATAGTGGGTCAGATCAGAGGTCCACCTGAGCCTGTTGACTGTCAATGAGTGTTTGGCTCTTAAGGCACCCGAAGAATCTCTTTTGAGAATGAGAGTTAGGTCTGCTCAATGAGTTAGGCCTTTGCCCCAAGCACTGCACTGCCTACATACTTTCAAAAAGCTAAACCTTGACATCTGTCCCTTTGTTTTCCTAACCACAAAATAGTTCCCTTGACGCTGTGCCATACCCACCCTATGCCCACTGATGCCCCTGAGGAAGGTTGGAGCATCTGGCACAGGGCCATAAATACAGACCTGGGCTAGTCAGGTGCTCGGAGGTGGAAATGTGGCCATGTTTAGAAACCGAGCTTACAAGTCCACAGCATGGCCTGCGCTCTTGCCCAGTTTGAATCATCATTACTTTATAAACATGGAAGAGCTATTCTATCCTCTCCCACAACGTGCCAATGCTAGAATCGTTTTGAAAAGGATGGAGGGAAAGACTGCATTTACAATACCATCCAGGTAGGTCTGCATTATGGATTCAAACCCCTTCATTCATGACAAGCCAAGCACTTGCATTTTTCGATACATGCTGGGATTATCCCTGATTGGGTAGAAGGACATGCACACTAGGGGTCAAATGAGTGACTGAAGGGAATTGATTTACCTAACAGTACAGAGGAATAGCCTTTGCTTAGTGGCTCCTGATCATGTCTTTCATTTCAAATCATGGTTGCATGATGCGATGCAGTGATAGCAATAAACTTCCCTGATGACATAAAAGGCCTTAGTTGTAAATAATTGTTAAACAGTCAATGCTTGTCGGGCAGACCAGCAGCCATTGCAACATCCAAACACCGGTTACAAAGGAACATTTCCATAACTGAAAAGTACCTGAACCAGTGCAAACATGTCAGAAACCCTCTACCACTTGCATGTCCCCAGGCTTCCCATTTCTTTTTCATATATTCCATAAACTTTATAAGAGAGTGGGGATGGAAGTATCCACAAGAAAGGATATCAAGAAGGAAGGCTACCCAGTATTTGGCCTATTCAGCCACTCCTGGGCCCTAATTGCCTGGGCCACCCACACATGGACTTGGACATGCTGTTTCTGCACTGAGGGTACATTGTAGGAGCATCAGTCTGTAATAAAGCAGAGGCAGCAAGACCCAGTCATCTTGTAGCAATGAATGAAATGAGCCATCCAAACAGTCCCCCCCTCCATCCCAGCCCTCAGCACCACCTGGGCCTCTGGAAGCAATTAAAAAGGCCTGGAGCCCTAAACTCTTTTATAGTGCTAGGCCTTGGAGCAACTATCCCATTTCCCACCCCCCACGGTGGCAGCCCTGGCTACGTAGTGGGCCTCAGCCTTTCTTCATGCTTCTTGGCAGACCTTTCCTACAGTCTTAAGTCCATCTGCTTCTGCACCTGATCCCGCTTGTCAGACCTCTCAAGAACTTTGACCATAAGCTCATCACAGAAATGCTTCTTCTTGGGAAGGTACGTTGGGCGGGGAGGTTGTGACGGCGGGTTGGGGGTCCCCCGTCTCCTGCACCCCGAAATGGCACAAACAGACTGCACCAGCCGGTGGAATAGAGGAAGTTTATTGCCTCTCCAGGATACAGCACAGCACAGATGTAGTCTGGTCACAGAGCTGGGCTAGGATGCCTCAGGCCCCCTTGACATGGGGGAGACCGGGCCCCTAAACTCCAGCCCCTTTCCCTAGGCTGTCTCCTCCATGCTCTCAGACAGCAACTAGCTAACTCTCTTCCAGCCCTGCCCCCCAGCCAGGGCAGCATTCCACCTTCCTTTGTTCCTCTCCATGGGGGGTGTCTGGCCATCCTGGTTTGCATAGTGACTCATCCTGTTTTGCTGGGTCCTGGTACCCACGGCAGCCAGTGGGGGTTACCCCAGAGCCAGCAGCATAGAAACCAGCCAGGTACCCCCACTACGTCACAGAGGTACAGCAGCCAGTATAGTTCAAGGGATCTGAAAAGGACAAGGCAAAGAGGGTTATTGTTTCATGAAGCTCAGTGGAGGAGCTCAAAATTAGTTCTTGTGGAATTTTAAAATAATAAAATGATACATTTCAACATTAACCTGCAATATACTGTCAAAGGGCTACTTCATACCACAGAATCTCCCGGCACACAGCCTGGTCAATTGCAGCCAGAGAAGTGCAGAGACAGTGGCAAGTTTAAAATTATAACCCGTTTCTAATTTACCAGGACTGCATAACTATTGAGATTGCCGGACAGGTGGGTGGGAGGCCATTGGCTTACAAAAGGCTTTTTCTGTCATTTCACACCTTTCACATTTTGGAAGCCATAACTGTTCTTGTGGTACCCTATTGGCAAAGGGATATGTGGGGAAACCGACAGGCTATGTCTACATTGGCAAGATTTAGCGCAAAAGTGGCTGCTTTTGCACAAAATCTTGCTGCCTGTCTACACTGGCTGCGAGTATTTGCACAAGAACACTGACATTTTACAGTATGAAATCAGTGCTTCTTGCTCAAATAATCTGACGCTTCTGCTCGGGGATAAGTCCTCTTGCACAAGTGTTCTTGCGCAAGAGGCCAGTGTAGACAGGCAACATTAATTTCTTGCACAAGAAAGCCCGATGGCTAAAATGGCCGTCAGAGCTTTCTTGCGCAAGAGAGCGTCTACACTGGCACGGATGCTTTTACGCAAAAGCAAATCTTTTGCGCAAAGGCACATGCCAGTGTAGACGCTCTCTTACTCAAATACTCTAACGCAAAAACTCCTTGCGTTTAGAGTATTTGCGCTAAATCTTACCAGTCTAGACGTAGCCACAGTGTACACAGCCCAAGTATTCTGAGGTATAATGACTGACCAGCACATCTGTGAGTGGAATGAGCTAGTCAGCTACCAAGGCAGACCTGCCTGGAAAGAAGCCTTTCCCAGTAGTGTGATTACCTGTCTGGATTTCCTGCTTCATGAAAAGTTTGCAGCTATCAGCACCCGGGATTGAGTCAGAATCCAAGAGGCTGTATTAGCCTCTGCCCTATTATGGCTAGATGTGAACATGCAGAACTCCACTATCTGTCTACCACTGGCACATTTCTGGACAAAAATTGAAACCCCACTCCTACTTGGGACAATGATTTTGCCGCCCACGGACTGTCTGTAACTGAAGGGAACTAGATTTGGAAATAGAACACATTTTCCCAAACACTGTTCACTATTTCCAGGCAGTTCAATAGACTGCTGAGTGGCTACAAAATGACAAAATTAAAGCCACAGCCATGTTATATTATAAAGAAAACAGGAATCACCCTAGTAAAAAGATGCGCCTTCCCACTAGAATACTCTTTAAAGCTGTTCTAGACTGTTTACATTTCCTAGTCACCATTTTGAAGGCTTCATGATGAGGGGAGGGGTGCCTACACACTGAGATGCACCCACCTTTACTGGCTATCCCAAGGGTGGGCAATAATTTTTGATGGAAGGCCACTCCAAGATTTTGGAAAGTGGCCAAGGGCTGCACTTTTCCATGATATTAATGGAGGAGGTGTGGGGTCTGGGATAAAGGTTGGGAGCAGAAGGGAGCTTGTGGTAAGGGACTGGGGTGTAGAATGGTGTTTGGGGTCTCAGAAGGAGTTTGGATGAAGGAGATGGTTGTGACCTGGGGCAGCGGTCTGGGGTGCAGAGGTCTGGGTCGTGAACTAGGGCAGGAGGGGGCTTGACCTGGAGCAGGAGACTGGGGTATAGGATGGGGTGTAGGGGTTTGGATTTTAACCTAGGGCAGGAGGGGGTCCTGACTTGAGGCAGGAGATTGGGGTGCAGGGTCCGGGAGGATGTACAGCGATATGGGTTGTGACCTAGGGCAGGAGGGTGTTGTGATCTGGGACAGGGGACTGGAGAGCAGGGGTTTGGGTTGTTGACCTGGAGCGGGAGACTGGGGAACAGGGGTTTGGGTTGTAACCTGGGGCAGGGGATGGGGGTGCAGGATCTGGGAGGGTGCAGGAGTAGAGCAGAGGTTTTGGGTTATGTGGAGTAGGGGGCAGGAGTGGGGGAGGGGAGCAGAAGGTTGCGGGGAGGGAACAGCTGAAGTGCCAGAGGCAGGCTTTGGCCAGGAGACTTACTTGGATGACTTCCAACCAGCAGCCCAGCAAGTTTCTCAGGCAGGCTCCCCCCTGCCCCGCCCCCATTGCAGGGGTCATGTGGGTCTCTGAATAACTGCAAGCCTAAGGGGCAGGGGGAAAAGATGCTTTGCACGCTGCCTATTCTTCAAATAGGCAACTCCCATTTGCTGGAAACTGGCCAATGGGATTTTGCTGGGGGTGGGAGCAGCACACGAAGCCTCTTTCCCCTTCCCTGTGCTTGCAGCTGTCCAAAGACAAACAGGGCCCCACAGCCACTTTTCTGAGCAACATACAAGGAGCTGGGCAGGCTAGGAGCCTGCCTATGGCTTCCTGCTGCATCCACAGGCTGGATCCGATGGCTTGGCAGGCTGGATTTGGCCCATGGCCCCTCTTTTACCCAGCACTGGGCTGTACTCTGGTAGTTGGAGCTTGTAACTTTTAAGCCATATTCTTTAAATTGGAGCCAGAAACTTAGAGCTCAGGAGTGGTTTCTGTCTCTGCTGGGTTTGCAGCAGGCTGTTCCTGGGGGAATGCAGTCAAGGAGCACCTCTAAGCAAGGGCCCCGACTTTGTTACTGAGTCTGTTCCAAAGCCTGTTCTGAGACAGGTTTCAGCAATGTGTGGGCTACACAGGGAGCCTGCAGCTGGCTCCCATCATCTGTCGCCATTCTGGATCCAGAGTCCAATTTCTCAATTTAAAAAAAAATTGGAAACCAGTACTTTTACTTTAAATAATTGGAACTAGATTCCACCCTCTTACCTTTGTTGTCCTGAGACTATGGGAGAAGAAGGTGCCACCAACACAAACTAATGGCAGAAGCTGACCCTTGTTAATTAATGTCATTTGTTAGAGCGGTCTTCTTATTTTAACATGGTTTGACTAAAGCAGATGAACTGTAGAACATGTCTTTTGCCTGAAGTGCCAGGTTCCGTGTGTTGTCAAATATGCCCATGAACTGGATGCATGCGACAAAAAGAGCTAAGTCTTCTACAGCAGTATTTCTCAACCAGTGGTACGAGTACCCTTAGGGGTACTCGAGAGAAGTCTGGGGGGTACATCAACACAACTGAAATTTGGAGAAAATTGAATTTTTGTTTTAGTTTTACAGCACTTTATTTTTGTACTTTTTACACCCAAAAATTTAATCGCCCACCCGGCTATGATTAAGTTGTTTAAACAAATGTGTTGCAATGATAGAAAAAAAAATGTTGTGCATCTGAAAACTAGGTACTGGGGGTACTTATAATTTTTTTAAAGGGGTACTTTATAAAAAATGGTTGAGAAACACTGTTCTACAGGACACAAGGACAACTAAATGTAAAGACAGAAGCAACCCCGGTCTGAGTTTTGCATCACTTCTTCCAAGGTATATTTAGCAACATCTCTCACTTCCTCAGATTGTGGAGCAAGTGTAAGTTCCATCCCACACAATTCTCCAGCCCCTCACTTACCCTGTAGAGGCCCTGAGCCTGCCCAGTGCCAGCCAGCCACACCTTTTACAATCAGCTGGACGTAGGGTGCTCAGCCCCTCTCAGCCGTTGCCGATCACAAAGAGTGATTTGCACAAGGATTTGCACTGCCAGGATTGGTCCATAATCTTAATACCAGATTGCCATATGCAGGGAAAAATCCTTTACACTGTTAATAGCTATGAGCTAACATGACATCCTGTGATTTGAAAAGAAGAGTTATATGGTGCATATTTCCTAGTGCCAGGCTTGTAAGGACTAAGCACATTTTTTCAATTTTTCCTTTTTACCCTAGAATTACTATTTTGCATATTTTATGGCTGCAGCTTGTATTCTTGCTACTGCCATTATAAGGATTGGAGAAACCAGTGATATCAGTTATGTTATGCAATAGTGTAACATATACTGATTCATAGCAAATGCCTTATTGCTTTTGTATTTCAAGTTAATTTGGCATTTAGTTGGATAATTAATTCCTGCAAAGTAGAAGGTGTACTTGTTGTAGATTAGGATTGTCTCTTATTTATCCCCAACCTATGAAAGACAGACTGTGGCCAACTTGTGTGAGAGTTAAGCAATATTTCATTGCTCTAAGAAGCTGTTTATAGAAATTTAATGCTACTCAGATCATCTATTACAAATCAGACTGTTGCTGTTTTTGTGCTTCTTATTCTGTAGCATATGGTCTTTGATACTATGGGCTATTGGATAAACATGTTTCATAACTATTATTTTATATCCTGAACCAGTTTATACACTCTTCTAAAGCATAGTGTCCATTATTTAGGATAAAGAATGTCATATTTGAAAAATGTATAACTTTGCTTTAGATCTATATGTGAACTAACTCAATCCAGAAATCCATGACAACCAACTATAGGTTGAACCTCCAAAATCTGGGATTCTCTGGTCCAGCAACATCTGTGGTCTGGCAGGACCATGGAGATTGCTGGATCAGAGAACTCCAGCATCTGGGAGCACGAACCATCTGGGAGTCTCATCCCCAGGGAGCCCAGGCCAGTAGGACCGACGAGCCCCATTCCCAGGGAGCCCAGGTTGGGTGGGACAGTAGAGGAACTCATAAGTCCCATCTCTAGGGAGCCCTGCTGGGCGGTGCAGTAGCGGGACAGTCAGTGGCAAAAGCAAGGCAGCTGGCAAGCCCCATCCCCAGGCCTCCCAATCAGAGTGCAGCAGAAGCAGGGTAGCTGGCAAGCCCCATTCCCGGGGATCCCCAGTCTGGCAGGGGAGAAGCAGAGCCGTGGTGGCTGGGATGTTCCATTCCCAGGGAGCCCAAGTCCAAGCCAGCTGCAGGGAGAGGAAGCGTCCGGGGACCTGATGTGGTAGCAGGGGACCTCCCCTGATCTGGCAAATTCCCTCATTTGGGATAGGTCAGGCTCCTAGCATGCTGGGCAAGGGAGGTCCAACCTGTATATGGTTTTTAACAACCAGTCTCACTATCGAATTTGATAGATATGTAGCCGTGTTAGTCTGGTGTAGCTGAAACAAAAAACAGGACGATGTAGCACTTTAAAGACTAACAAGATGGTTTATTAGGTGATGAACTTTGGTGGGCCAGACCCACTTCCTATTTGATCTGAGGAAGTGGGTCTGGCCCACGAAAACTCATCACCTCATAAACTATCTTGTTAGTCTTTAAAGTGCTACATCGTCCTGTTTTTTGTTATAGAATTTGAATCCATGTTATGAAAGTCTTTGGAAAGCCTTTGGATAGCC